ATAAAGTGGGGAGGTAGATGGCCAAGAAGAGCACCAGATCCACACAGGGACAGGGCAGATCATATGTTTCAAACCCATCCAAATCTCATGGCATCATTTAACTCCTTGAAGGCTCCAAAACTCCAAAAGAAACAATATCTTGGATCTGGCTTTTGCAACGTTGTCGGACAGATCAACGCATATGTCGTAAAACGATAACAATTACTGAGTGAAGCTGGCGAGCTTACCATCTAGGAGATACTCAGGGGCAACGTACCCCACTGTGCCTGACAGCTTTATGTTGCTCTTGCTTTGGGACCCATCCATTATGGCCAGCCCAAAATCAGAAAGCTGAATCCACCAGAAAGGAAGCTTTGGTTAGTTAGATACGAATACGATCAAATATCGTATGATTTTAAAATGATTAGTGATGAGAAGTTAGGTGCTCCAAAATGGTTTTACCTTAGCATTGAAGTTCGCGTCTAAAAGAATATTAGATGATTTCAGGTCTCTATGGATCACTGGAGGTTTACGGTGCTCATGAAGATATTCCAATCCCCTGGTCAACAGTCCTTAAATATGTTAAAAGATGTAGGAAACAGAGGACATTAAAATATCAGAAAATGAATGATAGAGGTTCACCTTGCTGTGTCGAGCAATTTTCATTCTCATATGCCAGGTCAATGCCGCACCATGAGAGGGTCCTTCAACGTGAGCAAAACTTGGAAAATTACAATCTCAATATTATTCTAATCCGTTTACTACAGGGGAAATAAAGCACCAGAACATGCATTCTTTTGCGTTACCGTGTAACTGAGCTTCCAGGGATCCATTTTGCATCAATTCATAGACAATGAACCTCTTGTCATCATTTTCGCTACAACCCAGTATAGAAATTATATTTGGATGCCGAATTTCACTCAACAAATTCACCTCGTTCTGCAATTTCATCTTACTAGTAAATACAAGAGAGAGAGAGAGAGAGAAGAAGAGGAAGAAGAGAAGCAATTATTAGCCGACATTAATTACCTCGAATTCTCTTCCAGCACGTTGAGTTTCACAGTGTAGTTTCTTGACGGCAACATCCAGATTATCATCCAACCGAGCCTGGTAAACACATCCAAATCCGCCCTGCCCCAAGATGTTACTTTCCCGGAAATTGTCGGTCGCTTTTTCTATTTGCTTATAATCAATGATCGGAAGAGACCCTTTTTTCCCAACCATTTTTACGGAACTGAATTTACTTAAAAATGGAGCAAGCGCAAGCCCTTTCTCGGCATCTGGAATCGAAACAGCACACAGAAGAAAAATCCCAGACATATCACGAAGCTATAAAATGTTGAAGTTTCCTATTTTTCTAACACCCACAATTGTGAATAAACAGTACTACCTGAGTTGGGAACGCTTTTCCTATTGGATTTGGGTAGATGCTTCCTACTATAAATCCAGAAGCATAAGAAGCACAGAATTACTACAACCAGTGCTGTACTAACAACGGCGAGCGCTATTACCATCTTAATGTGTAAATCCATCTGGTGTTCTTTATTCTCCACCTGAATACCTGGATGATATGGGACGTATAATGCAGGAAGCATCGTCAAAATGGAAGGAATCTCACAAATTAAACCATTCGGATTTAGCAAGTCGAGAGACCTTCGGCAGATGGGTGAGATCCAAACAAGAAAGTAAATGTTAAAAAGAGAGAGAGAGACTGTAAACGCGGAATCTACGAAATAGTTTGAGCATTAAATTGTGGAGGTTGTTTTCAAAATTCAAATTTGAAAGGAAGTCAAGAGAGTAGAATGAGAAGTGAACCTGGGGAGGAAGCGGCGTTGGAAGCAGGAAGTGGACGATTAGTCAGGAGAGGAAGTGCGGGAGCAGGAGGATCTGCTACAGCATAAACAGAAATGGGTTCGTGAACAAGAAGGTTATCATTGTGTCTGGTGAGTCCTAATGTAACCACAAATCAAGATAGAGAGATGTGTATGTGGAGAGGAGGGAACGACATATGAGAGAGACGCACACAGTCAGAGAGAGTTTCTGCAAGGCATCTGAAAAGGAAGCCGTTTTGTATCTTCTAGGCTTGACCTGCTTTTTCCTTTTTTTTAATTCATGTTTCCTTTTTGCACTATTTTTTTCCTTCCTTCCTTCGTCTCCCTCTCTCTCTCTCAAAAAAAAAAAAAAATTGTTTGGGTGCGGCGTGCTGTTCTGAAACCTCACTTTCTGGTTTTCTAGGCAGAAGGAAAAGTAGGGGACAACAATGGACTGATGAGAACGCAACAATCTATGGACTTTTGCCCCCCTTTTTTCTCACTTTTTATTATATAAATGCATCGCCCTCCCCAGTAAATAAACAATGAAAAAGACAATCCTAGCATTGACAGTTGAACTTATCAATTAAGTATTATTGAACTCTGATGGCACAAAATAAACTAAATCGCTCTTTCTTCTCGGAGAGCGGCGGCATGTTAATGATCTCTAAATATATTTAGTGCATCTCGTATTAGATACAATAATTGATGGGCTAATGGGGAAATTATTTTTTATAACCAGAAATTATTAACTCGTCGTAATGATGCGTGTGAACATGAAGAAGTCGACAGCGTGATAATCTAGCAGGTGTGTCTTTTTTTCTCATTTAACTTGGCGGGGAAGCTCCAATAGTTGGATAAGATTTCATAATTATTGATATGCCTGTCATGAATCATAAATGGTGATTTCAAAGGGAAATAAGCCAGGAATAATCTGCCAAAAAAGGCTTCCATCAGGTCGGATGAGATGATTAACTAGTACTAATTAGGGATTAGTAGGAGGTCGACGAGTGGAGTAGATACTTGATATTTCAGTCACCCAATGACGCACGGTTCCTTCCGCAATGCTTTTTGTTGTGTGTATGCCTCGAAAGGAGAAGGAAAAAGTGGTCCGCAGGGAGGGGCTTATCATATATGTGGAGAAAATGGCAGTTAGTCACGTGTTAGGTGGATTATGGATCTGAACTTTGAAAATCTGCCTAATCAGCCCCAAATCTCCAAGTTGTATGATTCATTTCCCACGTCATTACTGATTCTAAGAATTACTACATGCATATTATGCAGCGCTCCGTTCACTGTGTACTGTTTAGGATCTGCAATTCTGAACGGCATCATTGGGCAACATGCAACAATGAATTTGAGATTGGGGCAGCGTTTTAGTAAACGATCACTTACTTTACCCAAAGCTTCTGCGGCTCAGGTGATTATGCTTCCCGCCTCTAACTTCTGTTTGCCTGCTTCCCTCTCGTCCTTCGACTTTCTTAACGTAATAAGATGTTTACTTTGTTGCAGCTTTAGCCATAATAGAATGGAACAGAACCATTATTAATGAAATATAGTGAGATGAAATGTAATAGAACGGAATATTTTATTAAAAGAATAAATAATTCTATTTAATAATTTTTTAAGAATTATTATAAAAGTAATATATTTAAATCAGTTATAATTATGTTTTTCTAATTTTAAAGTGAGAAAAAGTGAAAGAATAAGGGCGAGAATTAAGGAGGATGAGGTAATTTTGTAATAATGATAAATCATCTCAAATTGAGGTTAGGGCAAAGTAAGTTTATGATGGCTAAGAATGGTGTTTTGAATAGTAATTGTAAGCCACTTTACGCCATTTTTAAAAATTCTCCTAAATAGTTGTAAAAAAAAATTTACCCATCCCATCTCATTTCATTTCATCCAGAAGAAAATCTCAAACATTGCATTAGTTTTTGTAACACAAGTTTAATATAGATCAAGAGTTTTTGGCATCAAGTAAGAATTAATTCACTGGAAAGTGTTATAAGCAGGAAAAAAAGGAGTTCAAAATAAGACGATGATTCTTACTTGATGCCAGAAAATGACATGGTTGAATTTAGCAGCCATGATTCCTTGAAAAGTGAGGATTTCCTGTTCCTCTCCTCTCTCTTTCTGGAAAACGTTACAAATTAGGAATATCAATTTCGAATTAGCTGAATAAGAGACGTTAAACACCCGCTCAGCGATACCATCATAATTAAATTGGGTCTTAAGTTTTGATGGGAAATTATGAACTGCTTATAAAACATAAAGATGATGGCAGGAGTAATACTTAATCTTGCTCGAATCACATGAACATTTAGCACTCATGTTATAATTGATGACAAGATGGGCATTAGGAAAGCAATGAATGGGGAAGGAAATGGAAGGGTTGGGGCTTAAATTATTGTTGTGATGGAGCATGTGTAGAGCAGCAATAATAGAAAGGAGCGGCTTGGGCTTGTCCTTTCAACTATTATTACTATTATCATTTCACAATTAATTTACTTGCCTCTTTTTGGTGAGCCTTGCCGTTGCTTAGTACAGTTCCATTACTAGTCCGTTTCGCAAAATATGTCTTCCTTGAGAAATTTCTGTTTCATATCAAAAATCTTTTTAAAAATTGAAGAGAATTTGCTATATGGTGTAACCGGTATCATTAATTATTGATTGAGGATACTTTGGAAGTTTTAAAAATATTGTAGCGTCATCCCATTGTAATATTTGACTAACGTTAGCCAGCCTTCGGTTGAAAAATTATGATTAGACTAGAGAGTAATTTTATCTCAGGAGTTTGCCTAAAAGAACAAATAGTATTCTAAATTTTTTAATCCACGCAATGATTTTTAATTATTAACTTTCAAACTAAAAGAATGATCTCACAACTTGTTATATCCCAAAATTATAAAAATATTTTCAATTGAATTATATTGAATACTTCTGAATCAAAATCCAGACTAGTCTAAAGTTGCCCATGGGAATGTCTGAACATATCCATATTTGCTCATAGTTAAGCCAACTCAAATAAAGACCTACTGATACATATTTGGGCCTGCTCATAGGCAAAATAAGAGCAAGTCTGAACCTTGCTTTGGGGAAAGTCAAGGAAGGGCAAAAGTGACTTAATAAATGAATGGATTATTGGCCTAGGTTATTAGGATTCTAAGCGGACACGACCAGTTCACACTAAACCGAAACACGCACACAAACAACGAAGCAGAATTCAAATAAATGTCATGGCTGTAGTGCATCTGCCAGGAAAATTACAAGTTCAGCAAATCTTTCAAAATGGACATCAAATATTACAACTCTATGAGGATTGCTTTAGCTTTTCTTCCACAAGCTCAATACAGCGGTACAAAACCAACTCAAGTGGATTCAGGGTGCATACAGTGTCAACTGCAAGCTGATCATAGTCGTTTGTATTCTCCGACATTATGCCTGCCACTAAGGTGCGTAAGGGAAGCAGCCACTGGCTGTAGGCTTTCTGCAGACTGCTCCTGGACACAACTCCAGTGTGGTTTGTGTTCCCTGTTTCATGTACACACAACCAACACTATTAGACAATGGCATTATTAGACTTTTAAATTACTTAGAAGATTTAACTCTGCCACCAAAAAATTACACTTCAAACTAATCAATGCTTTGATTCGACCTACCTGTAGATTCAGTCATCAATACAAATCTGTATAGGTTGAGGGCTGACAAAACCTGGGGGATGCACGAATTTCAGTAATTTATAACACTTTGATATTATTTTAAATTCCGAAAAAGAAATGAGACAAATAAGGATGGCCTTCTCAAACAGGTGCAGTCGAAACTATCAGGGTTGAAATATTTATAAAAAATATCTACCAAATAAAAAAAAAAAATCAACCACCAGAACCCATCAAAAACTAAGAATACCGCATCACCCTGCTCAGGGAGGGAAGGAGGTCCTCCCTGTGGTGGTCTCAGAACCAACTCCACCAACTCAAGGACACTAGGAGTCCAAAATGATGTATTTGGACGTGCTTTGCCTTCAGTTTTTTCTGTTGGTGTGGTATGGCAGACTTCCATGTGCATTTCCTTCCTGACTAGGTCAATGAGAATGGCAATCTCCAGAAAACCACCGGCCAGCATAGATTTAAACATTAGACAGTCATTTAAGTAAAGAACAAAAAGTTCAACAAAGTTGTTTTGGAGAGTTACCATGGAGGAAGAGTTAGTGACTCTAATCAACGCTTGCAAAATGTCAAACCTTTGAGAAATGTGAATATCATCAAGTACCTGGCTTTGAGTGGCACAAAAATAATGGCACTCAAGATCTCTTTAGAAAGATGTGCTTAAAGATTAAGAAATACCACATTTCTTTCTTATGAAGAATACACATCTCATATTTCATGGAAATTATCCACACATTCAACTTAAAAGGCAGGGTATAATGTCAGAAACTCACCCTTTTTAACAAATCAAAGGCTTTCTTCCTATAATCTGTGTCTGGGGCACACATGATAACCATTACGATAGCCTGCACAATAGTGTTTGATCATCAGAGATGAAATATATCAGGATTTTCTTTTTCTCATAGAGAAAGGAGTAAAAGTAAGCATTGGTACACAAAATCGACTCAGGAGTCTAAGTGAACCACCTGCAGGGCTGAGAAAACATTAGGCATATAAGTTGACCACTCATAAAGTTCGTCATCATGCTTGTCAGGTACATGTCCATCAATGACACAAAGCAAGAAGTTGATGGTATGTCTCTTCAACTCCCATGGCAGATTTACAAAGGAAAGTGCATGCTTTAATGTTCCTAATGCCTCCCACCTTTTGGTCTGAGCACTGCAAAGTTCATTCTTGATGACATCTAAATCCTCTTTAGTAGCTTCAGAAACTTCTTTTGAGACATACCCCCAAATTACTGGAAGGATGGAATTTCACTGGTCAGTGAAAAGGAAAGAGCATGAAAGAAAAGGTAATAGATCGATTACAGCAATTTTCCTTACACAAACCTGAAAGAGCAGCACCATGTTTGACATGTGATAAACAACCCGTATAGTCACCTTTATCCTCTGGATGTATATATATATATATTTTTTTTGGGGTGGAGGAATAGAATAACATTAGGAGAGGTAAAAGGTGCTTGGCTGCATGCTATATAATGGAAATAAATAAATACCAGGCATGCAATAAGCTAAGACAACTACCTCCAAATACGAAGCTAGCCACTATGTCGACATTATAACTGGTCAGGAGATACGGATAGGATAATCCACAAAATGAAATAATGTGTGATAGTTGTATAACCAATGAGTGACAAGTAGAAGATTTATAGCTTGAACTGGCTGAAAGAAGAGCCTGGGTTTTAACAGTGTATCATAACATTAATAGACAAAACCAAATGGATTCCACTAGACATGGAAGGCAAATAAATACAAATAAGAATCAAATCTTCATGCAGTAGAGAAATACTGACCATGCATTGCAAGGCATACAGACCTAGAAGAGCACGAAGCTTCTCATTCGTACCACTCTCCTGTTTTTTCATTTTAAAAAAATAACTCTAAGAAAACATTTCATATAAATTAGTAATATAGAAGCCTTCCAAAGAAAATAGGAGATTTGTTACAATTCACAAACCATCTTAGCGCAAATTGCACGTATAGAATTGGCAATCTCTACAGCTTTGCCAAATACACCCTCAAGTTCTGCATCATCTGTCTGTAAAGACATATTCTTCAAAACATTAAGAATGATAGGAATGGCTTCTTTTATTTGTTCAAACTGACGCCTCTGAATAGATGTGAAAACTGAAAAGGCAAACTGACAGTCAAAAAAATTTTACAAGCAAATTGGCTTCAAGATTTAAGATACGGTCAGACATAAGATTAAAAGAAATAGATGTGTGAAACTCATGCACCCTTTCATGCTAGAATCTCTTTTCACCCATAATCTGGATGCATGGTCAAATGCTGTGAACACGTCAGGGCATCTAACCCTTTTAAAACTTATCTTTCAAGTTGATGCTTTCATTTCTTTAGCAAGCAAGAGCACTGGAAAAACAAATTATGACTTCCATCAACTGTTCTCAACAGCTCTAAGAAATTCAATTGTTGTGGGATTAAACTGTCTGCAGTCTATTATTACATAATAATCTCAAATTGGGTGCAATTCAGGCCGTGAATTAAAAAAAAAAAAAAACAGCGATGCAGGGTTCAGAACTCAGAATAAGTGGGGAATCCTTTACAGCTACTCAGTTCCATGATAACAAATAGCAGGTTCAAGAAATTCATTCAATCAAGATTCACTCAATAACAGGATATATCAATAGAAAACCCTAAGTTGGAAGTGAACTTGCAAAGTAGCTGCTGCCCATCTTTCTATTATTGGACACAAATCACAATTTCCTTTTTCCCACCCAATTAATTTTTTTTAGAGGTGTTCAGCTTGTACCTGTCCCAATTGGCCCGGTATCGTCTCGATATTTTGTCCTGGCCTGAAAACAATCAAAACGGGAGAGGAAAGGGGTTCGAGACTGAACGGGACATGGGATTACAATCAAGACATCCCGTCCCGTCCCGAATATTATATATATACTATTTTTTTATTTTAAAAATATACATTAAATATATTAATTATATTAATCATAATTTCAATACGTGCAATTCTTATTTAAAACAAAAAATTTTTATGTTGATAATTTTAAAGACATAGAGTAAACAAGGATATCTTTCTTTATAATATATTAATATAACTTATTCTTATATACATATTTAATAACTTTTATTTATATCGTATTTCTTGCTTTATTTTTGAAAGAGTAATTAGTTTAACACATCTCAACTAAAGTAAAAAAACAATGATTTGATGTTGTGATTGACTAGCTTCTTGTTGCTGCTCTTATAGCCTAAGGATCACTTGTAATTGCTATTATAATGTGTAGGTGTGATTAATGTAATTCAACAATTGACTTTAAATTGTTGAGATTTATGTACTTGTGTTTTTTTATTTTAAACTTAATAAATCATATGATTTAGAATTTTAATGAATATTATTATCTAGATCTTTCTTCGACATTGTCCAATTTATCGGGATAGCAGGACATTCCAATTTTGTCTTAGTCCCATCCCGATTTCTAATGGGACGGGAAGACTTTCGGGAAAAGACGGGACATGGGATAAAAACTCAGTCTCAATCTTTTCTTTGGGACCGGACACAGGCCAAGGGTGTCTTGGTCCCATCCTATCCTGTGAACACCCCTAATTTTTTTTTTTTGAAAAACTCGTTGTTTGGAAATTTCACAGCAATGGATTACCTTTCGAGAGCCCACTAAAAGGAGGAACAACATAAGCAGACGCTCGGACCATCTTACTCGAGTAGCCTAATGCCTGTTACGATGAAATCAGCAGAAGAATGTGATCAAGATACAAACCCAAAAAGTTTAAGCTAGGTGGCAGTTGTAATGAACAGTGAATCTTGGCAGGCAACTTGATAATGAGAAAGTCAATATTTATGGCCATCAGGATAGAGATACATTGTTTGCATCTAAACGAAGTGGGGCTTGATCGCCTGAGGGAGGTGAAATTTGAAATATTGGTCTATGGAAATCTTGCGGGTCAGAAAACATGTCATAAAACCAGGAGGACCTCAGTCCAAGGGAAAACTATTCAGAAGAGCTGAAGAGCGTATATTTGACTGCAGCAATATATTAAAAAGCATAAGGTGACACAACTAATCTACTTCACCTCTGCCTATGTGGTCGATGAATATATCAATTGTGTAAACAAAAAACCATGTTATTTAAATAAATACATAAAAACTTACATTGCAAAGAATTGGAAGCATGTCTCTTGGACCACACACCACTATAAGCTGATTAATTATGCTAATAGCCATGTCCGATAATCTCAGTGATACAGCTGCAAACTTTGAAACAGCCTTTGGCAATTCAAATGACAGCGCATCTACAAGTGCCTGTCAACAAGCAATTTATTAAAATCATTGATCATTGTGCAGGAAGAATAACTTCAAACTGCAAGCTTCAAATAAGACATCCTATCAATAAAAATGGGTTCAAGTATGGTGTAAATATTTTGTCTCTCACTATTAGTCCATTAAAAAGCTCTCATCATAAAACAAGATCATCAAGATGCTACCAATTGATATGTCTTCTTGAGGTTCAGATAGTAACTTGCAAATCTATTTAACATAAGCCTTAAGTGAACCCACCTGATCAAGTGAAGGAGAACAGATATGTCGATAGATCTCAGAGACAACTTCAAATGCATTGCTCTCTTCCTGTTCATTGTCTGGATAAGATAGAGCAGCATCTAATACGGAATCCAGGAGCTTGACAAGCTCAGAGATTGTATTTTCATATTGGTGAAAATCTTCAGCTTCAGTAAACTGAAAGGATATAAAATTAAAATCAGGACAGTGAACAATAAGCCTTCTGTTCTTACCAGGCCAGACATCAATTTCCCACCTTCAATTTCTTGACACCTCAAGAAAGTCAATAACACACGTAAAAACATTCCAAAAATATATTAATTCTCTTTTCATGATTAGCAAATTTTTCAGGCCACTGGGCACACTTGTAAAATTTTGCAGCATAGTCCATTGGAGGTGTAACCTTAAGATAACAAGAAACATATAATCGCCCCACATACCATCGTCTTTTTAGCTGCCCACTCGCCCGAAACTTAATTCAAAGTATTCCTTTACAATCCAACGCAGCCAATATTTCAGTTGCGTTAATCAATATGTAAGCATAAATCCTTCGCATTTCTCTAGGTTCTAAAGTTATCCAGAATTACTCCCTCCAGAATATCAGAATCTATAATCTAAGAAGGGATTGATGGAAATAACTCAGTAAAAGATGGCAAAATAGTGTAGGCGAAGTGATTGATCATACATTAAAGAAGGATTCAAGAATTCCTCGAAGGTGAAGCACATCATTCCGAGCTACAGGGCTCTCTTCCTTCGCTGACATGATAGTGAAACCATTCACAGGGTAGGCGGGAAGGAAACTAAGTATTTTATTTCTTATATGTGAATGGGCAAGATGATCGGTATCAAACACCCTTCTTTTTTTCTTTTTACAGTGGCTAAGTGAACCTTAGTCGAAAAGGATCTTGGTTGGCTGACGAGGAAAGAGAGTTGCCGATGCTGTTCCTCTCTTACCTCTCATGAAGCTTGAAGCTACTCGATATAGAAACAGAGTTAAGGTACAGACTTTGGTAATTGATTCTTCAACAAAAAATCTTGATCTTGTTCTTTTCGCTTTCTCTGTTCTTGCGCTTTCTTCCTGAGTCCTGACGCCCCTAGGTTCAATTTCTTGTGTTTCAACGGCATTGTTTCTTTCCTCCCATGTAGCGAGTGCCCACTGCCCGAAGGTTCCGCATTCCGTGCTCATCTCCAAAGGTAATCTTGGCCTTCATTTTATTTTAAAATGATCACCATCATTAATTTTAAATTAATTTTTAAACATTTTAAATATTATATTTATAAAAATAAAAATTATAAAAATTATTATTAAATTTTAAATATCTAAATTTAAAATATATCTAAATATTCAATTTATAAAAAGTATAATAAAACTTTAATATTAAATTAAATTATTTAAATTATATTTAAATTATGCTGAATATATTTAGTGATTGATTTATAAAAACTGTAAAAAAGTTATATTAAATTAAATTATTTAAATTAAATTCATATTAATAAGATTGATAATCAATATATTTATTAAAAATTTAATCTTTTTTATGTATTTTTCTTTTAATAAATATAAAATAAAAATAAAAATTTAAATATGAATTATTCATATGCCGTAAGAAAGGAGTAATGTGTATGATAGCATATGATAAACATAAAAAGTAGTTCAGTTTTAATACTAAAAAATTTTATAATATTTATTTTTATAAATATAAATTTAAAATATTTAAAAATTAATTTACAATCAACTATAAAGATATTTTAGAATAAAATGAAGGGCTGAGGTCATTCTTTTAGGCAAAGAGGCGGCAGCAACCAAAGAGAGCAAGGAGGACAAATTAGTCATTTTTGCATTAGGTAAGGGTACTCGTGTCATTTCATGTCTTCGTTTCGCCTTAACGTTGATCTCGCTCACTGAAACGGCTGGAGGCTGGTTCTTCGGTTTCCATCATCCTGCATTGTCATGGAGCCGGACGTGAGCATTGAGAGCTCGTCGAGAATCCAGGTGGCGGTACTGCCGATCGGGATGGTGCCGTCGAATGTGCTGCGGGACTATTACTCTATGCTGTTTCCTCTCCATACAATACCGCTCTCGGCGATCAGCTCCTTCTACACAGAGCACCAGAAATCGCCATTCGCTCATCAACCATGGGACTCGGGATTCCTCCAGTTTAAATTTGTTCTTGGAGGGGCGCAACCAAGCCCATGGGAGGACTTCCAATCTCATCGTAAGACCCTGGTGGTCATAGGCATTTGCCATTGCCCTTCCTCGCCCGATCTCGATTTTGTCATTGAACAATTTTCTAATTCCTGCAAGTCTTACCCCTCATCGCTTGTCGATCGCTGCTTTGCATTCTGCCCAGATGATTCGCAGGTGGGGGTTTTGCATTTTACTATTTTTGGTCAGTTGGAACATAACATGGAATTTGGATCGGGAAAAAATAAATAATTTTATTGGATCTGCTTCTTTTCCTTACTTATCTTATGTTTTGATTGCAGCTTGAGGACGGAAGTAAAAAGGGCGGTAATTTAAGGTTGTTTCCCCCTGCTGATCGTCAAACACTGGAGTTCCACTTGAACACTATGATGCAAGAAGTTGCTGCTTCGTTGTTGATGGAATTTGAAAAGTGGGTGCTTCAGGTTGAATCTTCAGGCACCATACTCAAGACCCCTTTGGATTCTCAAGCGAGTCTCAGCTCAGAGGAGGTTCATGTTTAGGTCTCCTAATTATTTGCATTTTTTTTTCGTCCTCGAAGTAGCGTTCTATTTTCCATTTCTATCTGCTGTTTTCTGTCGCAATATCAACTTAATTCATCTTGAAATTTGGTTTATATATGCAGGTCATCAAGGCTAAAAAACGAAGGCTTGGGCGTGCTCAGAAGACAATAGGTGACTACTGCCTGCTGGCCGGATCGCCGGTTGATGCAAATGCCCATTATTCTACTGCATTGGAACTTGCCAGGTTGACCGGCGATTACTTCTGGTATGCCGGCGCACTGGAGGGGAGCGTTTGTGCCTTGCTGGTATTTCTCTTATTTCGTCTGTTTAAATTTCTTTTCTTTCGTTTTGGGATTTGGAATTCCCTGTTCCCTGATGAAAGGAATGGTCATATTTCTATGATAACGCATGAATTGATTGTTCGACCTTTATCTCCTTCGGTGATTAATGATTTGTTTTGAAGTTTTGAACACTAATTGAGGTTATGCAAGATGGTACCATTTAATTTTGTATTCGCCTTCTTGAATTAACGGCTTGTTACTTGTAGAATTTTCTCTCTGCAAACTTTCAAATGCTTTTTGTACAAAAACTCTATTTCAAGAATCATTTATTTTGTATATTATATAGAAAGCATCAATTAGTAGGTAGCAGTGAAAAAAGCAGGAACTAGTAGCGGAAATTTCTCATCTCTTGACTTTCACTTCTGTCAAGCGAGGTCTTGATGCTTGATGGAGAAGGGAAATTTTCGTATTAAGAATACTACCTTATGGATTTGTCTGTTGATTTTATCTTGGACTGTAGTTATATACTTATAACGGGTGGACTGCAGACTGCCACCTTTAGGAACTACTGCTAATGCTGTACGGAATTGCATGGCATTTATCACTTACCGCATAGTGAGAACATAAATGCTAGATGATTTCCATCAAAGGAGATGTAGTGGCAGAATTTGGTGGCAGTAGATGGTATCAAAATGTACATATGGTGACCAAAGTTGCCCTGGAAAATGACTTTATAATTTGTGGTTTAAGATTGATCGCATGGGCCAGAAAGATTCAATCTTGGAGGAGGAAGTTAGATACCGTTACAACAGCGTAATCTTGAATTACAAGAAGTCACAAGATAATGTTCAGAGGTAACTATGTCTTTGAGACTCTGTTAGCCCATCTTTCTTGTTGATCTGTTTCGCTTTTTCTGAATTGTAAAACTTGTTGGCATTTTTCTAATTATGAGTTGTTGATCCTTAGCATTTTTTGCTCATATTGTGCAGAGTCTCTCCCCTAAGTTTTGAACTTGAAGCTACTTTGAAATTGGCAAGGTTTCTTTGCAGGCAAGTGCTTTTCCGGTACTTCTACAAAGTGGCATGTTTGTCCTTTATGCATAGAATATTGAGCTAATTTGTGAAGCTTGTAGGTGTCACTTTATGCTTGAGCCTTTAGAAATTATGTCTCAGTTGTTTGACTTTCACAAGGCTATAGGATTTCATACATCTGTGTCATAAAAACTGGAGTTATCTGCATTGGGTGTCTCAACATTAACAAACATATGCATGTTATTCACGTAAATTTTAAAATAATTTGTTGTTTTATGTTCAGCTTCAGCAATGTGTTTACCATTCTGTTGAATTTTCATCACATTTTATTTGAGTTCTCTTAATGAGCAGGAGAGAGCTGGCCAAGGAGGTGACGGAATATTTAACCAATGCTGCAGATGGTGCTAAATCTTTAATAGATGCCAGTGATAGACTTATACTGTTTGTTGAAATAGCTCGTTTATATGGCAGTCTTGGATACGAGAGAAAGGCTGCTTTCTTTACAAGGCAGGTTGCTCAGTTATATCTGCAGCAAGATAATCGTTTGGCTGCAATTAGCGCTTTACAAGTTTTGGCACTGACTACTGAAGCATATCATGTTCAAAGTAGAGCATCAGTATTTGAGAATTCTCTACCTAACGTGAGTTTACAAGTGCCATCCTTTAGGAAACGTATTCATATAAGTGGCATGCTTCTTTAATTAGTGACCGTGAAATGGTCAGTTTTACAGTGGAGGTTTACATTTTGATTCAAATGTTACATATTCTTTCAAACTAGAGACCATTGAACACTGTGATGGTCATCATCAATCCCTCTTGCTGTCACTGCTTCTATCATATTTTGGATTTGTTAACTGAGTCTGAAACAACTACCCACTCATTAGCTTTGAGCTTAAAAATATTACTCTGGTCAAGGCTGTTGCTGGTTATCAAAATGTTCATGATACTCACTATTGCATACAACTCCAAGATGGAAGTTGGTATTGAGAAGTCTGGGCTTATTTTCTGGTGGTAAGGCATGAGGGCCATCATTAATCAGGACTTTGCATAGCAGGCAAGAATAGAAAGCCCACTATCCAACGAGAACCTTTCTATCTGTTTATTAAATGAAACTTAAAGGCAACATGCAGCATCAGAGTTTCACCTTCTTGTAACCTATCTGTTTGATTTGTGCTACTTATAGTCAAATCCACTGAAGGGTTTATCTGGAGATCCATTAGTCATTTGGAATTGCTAATTTTCATAGTTAATGTTTTAACTCTTGGCAGAGGAACTAGCCTCTACAACTTAGTGAAAAATTGTCTTAAGAATGAAAGATATGGATTGAAACATGGTGGTTTTCATCTACCTAAATGCTGCCTTACATGACTAGGCTATCATCTTTTATGATGTTATAGGTTATCATTCTTACATAATGTTAACTTTTGTAATTTCTGGAGATAAGGAAAAATCATTAGCTTAGATCTATAAATGGGAACATTTATGCAGGAAGTCGGAAGATTTCATGTCAAACCTTGGGCTGGTAGGAGAATGAATGATTTCCTTCCCAGTCAAACAGATGTTATATAAACCATGTTGTTCCGTTGCCAATGTGGTTTACTCTATTTTTCCAAGATATTTTTCCAAATACGCAAGTTTTAAAAGACAGTTTTATTCTACTAATTGTAGAGGTTAAAAGCCTAACATGAAAATAATGAATGAAGTCAGAGACTCATAAAGAAATTAATTATTTGGAGACTTCAGTTGGTTTAAATAATTCGCTCTGTTCTTATGCTTTTATTAAAAGTTGTCACATACTTTGCCAGAAGGGAATCGGATCAAGTAATGCAGATAGTGGGAAAAAGTATCCCCAATCAGCAGTCTCGCTCTTTGAGTCTCAGTGGAGTACCCTTCAGATGGTGGTATTAAGAGAAATTCTTCTTTCTGCTGTCCGTGCTGGAGATCCTCTTGCTGCATGGAGTGCAGCAGCAAGACTACTCAGATCATATTATCCTCTAATTACTCCTGTTGGGCAAAATGGTCTAGCTAGTGCACTTAAAAATTCAGCTGAAAGGCTGCCACCAGGGACTCGTTGTGCTGATCCTGCCTTACCTTTTATAAGGTGTTTACCTGTTTATGATAATTGCCTGCATTTTGCTTTATGATTAAGTATACCATTTCATTCCCATAGAAAACATAAGCCAGAATAAAGTATCAAATTTATCAGTAGAGGTAACTTGTTTTTCATACATTTACATGTAACTACTTGTGGCCATATATTATCAACTCAAAAGTTGTAGTCCATCACTTTGTAGTTTGTCCTGTTATTGTATTTTGGCTCATTCAGTTTTGTAAAATGAGTTCGTTGCCTCAATAAACAATGTTTCTCCATTTTTATTAATAATTTCTCTTATTTTGTTTTTAAAGCAGCAATTTTGTCTTCAATATTTTTTCACAAACGTCATCACATCAATTAGGTATCATAGTGGAAAGCTTATCTATTTGCACATGGGTGGAAATTTTCTATTCCCTCTGTTCCAAATTATAAAATACTTTAGAGGAGATTTACTATCCCAAAATATAAGACAGTTTGAGAAAATTAAGGTTTCATTAAGTACACTTATTCCAATATTACCATTTCTCTCTCTTTATTTAATACTAATTAAATGTAAATTTATGGTTACTAAATGAAGCATATTTTTGAAAGTTTATATTTTTGTTTTGAAAGAATATGGTTGTTAAGTGTATTTAATGAAGTTTATTGATATGTGAGATTTTGTTTAAAAGTATCTTATAATTTGGGACAGAGGGAGTATATGCAATCTACTTTTACAAACTACAGTTTTAGCTGCAGTAACTGGTTGGCAGTGGATCAGAATAACACTCTGTTGCTAGTCTTTAGAGATATTGAATACTGCTTAGTAGGGACCATATTGTACTTTTTGGCTTATGATTAATGATGCAAATTTTGGACAACATACTCAGGCAGCCATTTGATCATTGATTGCTTCCAGGTTGCATTCTTTTCCTCTCCATCCAACACAGATGGACATTGTAAAACGCAACACAGCTAGGGAAGACTGGTGGGCAGGTTCTGCTCCTTCAGGCCCTTTCATATATACACCATTTAGCAAAGGAGAGTCCAATAATGCTAAGAAGCAGGAGCTTATTTGGATTGTTGGAGAGCCTGTCCAGGTCTTGGTGGAATTGGCAAATCCATGTGGCTTTGATTTGAAGGTTGATAGCATCTATTTGTCTGTGCATTCAGGAAATTTTGATGCTTTCCCTGTGAGTGTTAGCCTTCCACCTAATTCATCAAAAGTGATCACCTTATCAGGAATCCCAACATCTGTAGGAGTAGTTACAATTCCTGGGTGCATTGTTCATTGTTTTGGTGTAATTACTGAACACCTGTTTAAAGATGTTGACAATCTCCTTCTTGGAGCAGCACAAGGACTTGTCCTCTCTGATCCGTTCCGCTGCTGTGGATCTCCGAAATTAAAAAATGTGTCTGTTCCAAATATTTCTGTTGTGCCGCCGCTTCCATTGCTGGTGTCACGTGTTGTCGGGGGTGACGGTGCCATCATTTTGTATGAAGGTGAAATTCGTGATGTATGGATATGTCTGGCTAATGCAGGCACAGTTCCAATTGAGCAAGCACATATTTCATTGTCAGGAAAAAATCAAGATTCTGTGCTTTCATATTCTTTTGAAACTTTAAAGTCTTGCCTTCCTCTAAAGCCTGGAGCAGAAGTGACATTACCAGTGACCTTGAGAGCTTGGCAGGTTGGTTTGGTGGATCCAGATACCAGTGCTGGGAAGAGTGCCTCTGGAAGCATCATGAGGCATGTTAAAGATGGAATCAGCCCTTCATTATTGATACATTATGCTGGTATTTACTTTAAAATATTACATATATTTTTCTTCCTGCATTATTAATAATTAGCACGGATCCTTGCTCTAGCATACAATCACTTTGCTGCTGCTTCTTTTTTCTTTTTCTTTTTTTTTCCTTTTTTGCCTTTGAAGGGGGGGGCTTTTTTTGCTTTTTTTCCCATATCTCTTTGTCAATGCAGTGATTTTTTTCTTTAGCTGTTACCCTGGGATGAATGGCTCTGGCGCCTTATGTTGCTTCCATCTTGGAATAAATTTAAACCCTATGCATTCACACTTGCATGCAGACTTCTTTTCTTGTGTCAGTTTGTCATTTGGTAGTCTTCTGTGCCCTGTAAGCATTATTAATCCATGCTAGTGCTTCCATGCTTGGTAATAATGCTAATTCCACTTTTTCATTTTAGGTCCACTGCAAACCTCTGGCAATCTTCAAAATAATGGATCTAATGTGCCCCCTGGTAGGCGCCTTGTCGTTCCCTTGCATATTTGTGTTTTACCAGGCTTGTGTTTTGTTAAGGCTCGGCTGCTTTCAATGGAGTTTCCTGCTCATGTTGGTGAGAATCTTCCCAAGCTGGCTGATACAAGTGGTAAATCCACTGGAGGGAATGTTGACTCTCAGACAAAAATGGACAGATTGGTGAAAATTGATCCTTTCAGAGGAAGTTGGGGGTTGCGATTTCTTGAACTTGAGCTGTCTAACCCCACTGATGTTGTGTTTGAAATTAGTGTTACTGTCAAACTGGAGAACTCTAGCGATGAGGACAATCTTTCTGGTGATCAGGATGCTGCTGAATATGGATATCCTAAAACAAGAATAGATAGAGATTGCTCCGCCAGGGTTCTAGTGCCTCTTGAGCACTTTAAACTACCAGTTCTTGATGATTCCTTCTTCATGAAGGATATTCAGGTAGACGGGGTTGCTGGAGGCAGGAATGCGATGTTCTCAGAGAAGAACACTAAAGCTGAACTTAATGCCTGTATCAAGAACCTTATATCTAGGATTAAAGTTAGATGGCATTCAGGACGCAATAGCTCTGGAGAGTTGAATATTAAGGATGCTATCCAGGCTGCTCTTCAGACCTCAATTATGGATGTCCTGCTGCCTGATCCATTGACCTTTGGCTTCAGGCTTGTCAGAAATGATTTTGAATCAGAAAAACCTGATTCTGAAAGAGAATCCAATGTTGATGATGTGCAATCTCCTGCATCAAAAGATTTTGTTTTTGCACATGAAATGACGCCAATGGAGGTTCTTGTCCGTAATAATACAAAGGATTTGATTAAAATGAATCTTAACATTACTTGCAGAGATGTAGCCGGGGAAAATTGTGTAGATGGGGCAAAGGCAACTGTTCTATGGACTGGTAATTTGGTACTTTTTTTGTGGTTTTAGCAGTTACATGAAGTTTTGTTAGTCTCTGAACCTGCCTTAATTGACCATTTTCAGGGGTTCTAAATGATATTACAATGGAGATTCCCCCACTTACAGAAGTTAAACATTGTTTCTGCTTGTATTTTCTTGTTCCGGGAGAGTATACCCTCGCGGCTGCAGCAGTGATCAGTGATGCAAATGACATTCTCAGGGCTCGAGCAAGGACCAATTCGGCTGATGAGCCAATCTTCTGCCGGGGACCACCGTATCATGTTCGTGTTCTTGGGACTGCATGACAATTTTTGCCCGTGAAAGTCCACTCATTAAGCTCCTATTTTTTTTGGTGCGACTGCTTGTAGCACCAGTTATTTCATTCGGTTATCTAGGATGATACACTGGAACGTTGCAGTTACACTCCTGGTTAAGATCAATTCCGGGAAGCTTTGTTCCAATTCAAGAATTTAGATTTTTACGTGGCTTGGTTTGTATTTGTAAATCGTCTATAATGTATATTATATTATGAGACAGGTCGCTCCGCAACCCCATCCAACCCAAAAAAAAAAACACCCTCTGGTTTTTCTCCATTTTCGCTGAGAAAACGTATGCTTCTCCCAATACGGTGACTGATAATCGTTCAGATATGAAGAGGTATCATTGTTCGCAGCTTGATCAGTGATCAAAGATGGTAAATGCGCATGCTTGCAAAATCCCTCCTATCCATGCTGAGCCATCATCGGTGGCACTCTTTAGTTCGAGCTGCGTAAGCTTTCCTTGTGAAATTTTTTAAATTGGTTTGATTTTCCCAAAGCCGGTTATTACAAAAGTAAAAGTACATTTGTGTACTTCAACTTTATGCAAAATTCTAATTTATTTATTTTTAATCTTATAAGGGGTGTTTTTAGTTCTTCAATCTTAGCATTTCATCTCTTTAACAGAAATTGTTAATAAAGAATTCTCAAATGATCTTTAAGTTTAATTTTTTTTTAGTTTTTATAAAAATAAATTTAATGCGTAAACATTTGACATTTGAAAATGTTTTATTTCTGCTAATATAATTAACAGTGTTAGAATTAAACATTTCCGAAGTTGAGGAATTAAAATGAAATTTTATATAAATTTGAAAAGTAAAGGTGCATTTTTGCTTATTATAAATTTATAACTTGCACAATTTGTTCTAAATTTTATATTTTATATCAATAAATAAAGCATTACCAAAAGTTGTTCATTTCCTTTGGACGTGTGTTGCTGAAGTTTTACCAGTGATAGAAGCCTTGTATAGAAGAAAATAGTACAAAGATCCTATTTGTTAGATATGCGGTGAGGAAGCTAAATCAATTGAACATGCAATTTTTTTTATGATTTTTGGGTCAAATCTGTATGGTTTGGTAGTGATCTGTCTTTGAGATTTGATAAAGACAATCTGGTTTCAGAAGGCAATTTTAGAAGGTAAAATGGTTGATGAATTTAGATTGCTCATTTTGTTTGGATTATGTAGCTGATTTGGAAGGAAAGAAATGGTTTCATTTTTTAGCAAAAGCAACCTGATTCGATGAGAGTTATCTATGGGTTTAGAAAAGCTATAAATGAATTCTGGAAAGTAAAAGGCTGGTTGAAAGAGGAGCGAGGCAGCAAAGGCAGAAGATAATAAGAAGATTTAGATGGGTCCGAAGAAAGGAAGGATGAAGGGGAACTGTGTTGGATCTTATGATATAATTACTAACAAGTAACAATGCTGCTATTGGTTTGATTTGCAGGAACATAAAAGGAGAAAGGCTTTGAGGATCTGGAGAGATGGCGCAAGCTGATTTTCCATTTGCGGCTAAAGTATTGGCAATTAAAAAAGCTATGGCAATACTAAATAAGCAGGATATGAAAGAAGCTAAAATAGAGATTGATTGTGCCGGTCTTCTCCAGTGCTGTAAAAAGAAATCGATAACAATGGCTGACTGGAGGGGCAGGTGGGAGATGAAGGAAGTTTTAGATGCTTTAGCTAAGTGTTATGGTTTTGTTATTTCTCTTTCATCTATAAAAGGTAATGAAGTAGCTAATTAGGTAGCTATGTCTTGTAAAGAGAGATTGTGTCCTGTTGGATGAGTTTTGTTACCAGCACTCCCTTTGGTTAATATTTTGACCAATGATTTGAGACTCTTTTCTTCCTTTTGGTTAAAGGCAGGCAGGTTGGAGATGGAGAGAAGTGGCATTGGTTAAAGTGGTGTTGCTGCTGCATAGCAGATGACTGTTTCTATGTTTTTTTTTTGTACTGTTTCTAGGTTTTGTCACCAACACTTCCTTTGGTTAATATTTTGCTGTTCATTTTGACTGTAATGACTTTTTATTCGGGTTTGTGTGTTTAGTTCTGGTTATGTAGGATCTTCAGCAGTTCCCCCCCCCCCCCTGTTGGCTTCATCTATTAGCACGTGTAGCACATTTTTTTATGATTAATAAAATTAACTTGTGTTTCGGGCAAGGAAAAAAACATAAATAAATAATGATATCCTCATAACTCAAACAGGTTTACTGTCCAGGTTTTGTGACAATAATAACTAGAAGGCGACTCTCCCACTTGAACGGGATATTGAAAATTGCACGCAATTATAAAATTTAAGATGTAATGATTACACATGGTAAACCATAAGTAACCCAAGATTCAAATTTGATTATATATTTACTGTCTTAATTAAATTTTGATCCATGAAAAATAATTCAATAAAAAATTATGAATTCATAATACCCTGGAATACAAACAACGTTTTGGAAAAATACCAGCTTACTTGTGCGGTTGTGCCCAAGTTGTTCAAACTCGACCGCCTCAGGAGAACTTATAACCATTTAAATAACTATTTAATGAGACTGAAAATGCGACAAAATGAAAGCCCATTTTGGCGTTTTGCTTCTTCCTCTGAAACGAATCACCTGGAATGTTTTGGCCCAAGAAAGAAAGAAATCTACTGAAGGTTGTGGATGAGCATATTTCTTGACAAGTTGACCTCAAAATTAGATCTGTCGCGAGTAGTCTACGTATGGATAACTCAGAAGACAAGGAATTAACGTAGCAGCAATTAAGGTACACACACACATCTACATTATAATAACTAGCTAGCAAGTAAAATCCAGGACGTCAATATCTTCCCTGGCTGTATTTGCATTGCTTGCAAGAGATGTGATTATCATTGTGAATTGACCTCGGGCAGGTTCTTAGGTGGCTCCTATCTCCTTCTTCCTATTGTAACCAGCAAGGCCCTTTTCAATGTGTACCATGTGACCTAAGCTTTCATTCTTCTCAAACACCTACTTCTTTTTGCTTATTCTCCTTCTAATTTGCCTCCTCCAACTCATTCAATTAGGTAAGAGTCTCAATTAATTCACAATCAAGATACAGTGCTGTTGTCATGATATGAGTGCAAGGTTTTGAAGGTGAAGTATAGTTATCGCTGTGTATGGCTTGAGACCATTGAGTAGTTCTTGGGTGGGTTACGGTTTGAATTAAATAACGTTCATTAATTAGCTTATTAGGATGAAAAGGTTGGAAGACGTGGCCACCTTTTCACAGATTGCATGTGAATAAAGTATCAGCAAAACGTGAGTTTGAGTCTCCATCGTCAAAAAAAACCTTGATTCGTTGAATCGGTTGCGGACAACAACGTACAACTCACTGGGAATTGAACAGTGTCCTCACATTTTTGTGCACCTTCCCACTGTGTATACATGGAATTAATTATTCCAATATTCCCGTTCTTCCTCCTCTCTCTTTAATGTCAACCCAGAATAAAACTTGCGTTATTTAATGGAGGATTTGGTAGTATTCGTAAATTGTTTGGTGTTGATGGGTCTTAAAATGGACCAATTGTTGGAGATATACAGTTCTATACTAAGTACATGTGTGCGCAGACTAGTTCTTTAAGAATCGATACACACTCTCTTTATCACACTTGACATAATCCTTCCCCACAGGGAAGGATGACCCACTCTCAAACACCTCCCATACCACTTAGGGTTTTTTCTCACAACCTCCCCATTTGAGGAGAATGTGGGATGCCATATGAGCTATAAGGCTCAAGGCAATACGTACTTTCTCTCAACGCCTCCCCTCCCCCGTCTCTCTCTCTGCAATATATATTTTATGTTTATTGAATCGTAACGATGTAATTGCTAATTATAACATTAAACTAAATATATTATTTATTTAATTACTAGTATAAACATGAGCATTATAATTTTATTTTAAAAGTATTTAAATGATGGTGATAGTAATAAATGTATACTCTTTCTGTTTAAAAATGTAAGATATTTTTTAAAAATTTATATATTTAAAAAATATAAGACATTTTTAGTCTTTTGAGATATAATCATTGTCTTTTTTAAAAAAATGCTCTTATTAATGAATGACTTTAGATATATTGTAATATGGTTAACAGGGGTCAATATGAAAAGATAGTTTTAGTTTGAAGGTAGGTAATTACTTTATTAAAAGTGATATTTTTTAACGGAAGGAGTATCTACTAAATCATATAACAAATCAAATGGCCAAATGAAATTATGTATTATGCACTAAGAGAAAATACTGAGGGGATCTAAATCTCTTTTTAACGCAATTATTAATACATCAGCAGTGACATATTTCTTCAACATAAAAAATATTTTTTACTGCACACATATGTCTTATTATTAAAAATTATCCCGTTTGAATTTGAAGCATGAATAACATTAAATGCAAGCACATTTCTCAACGAGATAAAAAAATGCATTTGAATTTGCTAGATTAATGAACAGGGCCCCTTTTTATACCAGCCCAAGAAAAAGACCTTTTATTTTCTTGGGTTTAAAACTGAGATGTGTTCCCAATTCAAATTGACCCGTTGCAAATGAAGTGAATGAGGTGGCTTTAATGTAACTGGTTGGGAGAAGGGAAACGAGGCAATATTCTACTAACATAGAAATAATGGACGGAAAGTGACCTAAAAGAATATGGGAAATATGGGTACCTAATTGAGGACGCTCTTTAAACTTGAAAGTGATTGAATACCCTGTTCTTCCCTGCGGTTAGTACTTTGTACAGAAGCCAAAAAAATAAATTCTTCAGAATTGAAAGCAAAGTGACCGCCAATAATATATCAGGTTTCATTGTAAATTTTAAATTCACATTGACCTTTCTTTTGTTTTAACTTCCCTCTTTTATCCTCTTTTTCTTTATAATATTAATTAACTTTCCCTTCTCTTTTGTCTTCACATGGCTCCATTTCATGTTTTAATTCACAACCAATTGCCCTTTGCATATCATGTGGATATACATACAATGAAGAATCTGACTTCCAAAACTGCCATAAGAATGATCAAAAGGCCACGTACAAGGGCTCAAACTAGAGTCAGAATAGCCATCAAGAATCATATTTATTTTAATCTGTTATACACAGTATGAATACGTATCTTTCACTGTCTTAGTAAACAGTACAGGTTTCCATGTTAAAAGAAAGGTACAAAACTAAGGAATTGTCATGGCAGTGTTCATGGAGGCCCTTGGTGTTGAATATTCCTCATTTGAT